AACAAGCTTTGCAGCAAGTAAATGCCAGAGTATTTGCTGATATGAGTGTGGAAAAGAATGTGTGTGTGAGGGGGGCGGGTTGGGGGTTGGAGAGAGAGATTGAGAACTTAAATAAACCTGCCAAAACTCACAGCTTTAAATACTAATACAGAATATGTTTAGAACTACTTTGCTCAATCGTTTTCCTTGCAAAGAATAAGTAAATAAATCTCAGATACCAGATAGGTCTCAATACAGTAAAGCATAACACAACCACACATCACCCACTGAAATATCATAAAACAGCTAAAAATCTAGGTTCCTCAGCTCAAGAGGTTTCAGAATATGGCATTAGGATCACAGGGCACATGAGTTGCTTCCACATTAGAACACTTTAGCACTGCTGAGACATCATCCCGCCCCCCCCCGCCCCAAATTAGCTGTGAACAGAATTAAAATGGAGATTCTACACAATGACTTAATACCAGTATATTATGCACAATTAGTATATAATGCCTCTCCCTATAGTATTTACTCTCACATTAAGTCCAGTTCAGCAATGCTGCTTAAGTTTCCTCTTTTAAGTTTATCGTATCTGATTGCTTCGTGATGAGTACAGGTGATAGATTACTAATAAATGACATATGAATTACTTCTTGAATAGCATCAATTTCATTCATACGTTTGGGAGGGGGTAAGGGAGAAGGATCTTACCATTTTTTTGTTTTGTTTTGTTTCTTTTTGGTTGCAAAATTCCACTCTCAAAAAACAAGGCAAGGAAACTACCTGTTCCAATAAATAGCTTCAAATCTCCAAAGGCATAGGAACCCAGAGAGCCTTAAAAGTACCTTGCCGGCCAACACTTGCCCAGCTGGTGCTGGAATTGTGCTTTATTATAAACGTTGAAAAAAATGCCCAAAATCAGGACTAAGGGGAAGAGAAGGAGACCATGCACACACAAAAACAATGCAAGAGGCTGATAAACACATTGTCTGGGTGTTCCCCAAAAAGTGAGTGAACAAAGGATTACCATTCCAGTAAAATGGCTGTTGTGAAAGCAACTTCACTGCACTTGCAACTAAATCCCAGTTTACTTGTACATGCTGTATTCCATGTGAACACCCCTGCACACCCTGGGACCAATGACTGGGCTACTACTTGTAAGTGGGGCAATGCCTGAAAAATGAATTTTAAAGACCATCCATCTTTGTTTCACACTTGACGCATTTGCTGCATGAAACACTTGTTTAACACACAGTTGTCACATTAAGCAGGAAGTAACCCTGAGGAACAATATGACTATGAGGAAGAATGCAACTGCTCTCCTGGGGTGCAAGGCACTGCCAAAGGCTAATAACTGCTTGGTTTCATCTTTCCTCTGATCCCCACATGTCAGTGGGTCTATAAATGAGAAAATCTGCAAAAGATGCTGAAAATGAATGGAGTAGGTTTTTTGTTGACTTGCTCATTTCTATTCACTAATGATAAGATACATGCACAAGGAAGAACATTTTAATGTAAAGGAATGAAGCATATTTCTATACCGCAAATTATAAACAAAGCAGCAGAAAAATAATCCTCTTTGAAAATAATAAAACAAAACAAAATAAATCTGGCATAAAATAGCACTATATGAAATTATCAAAGAGTTTACTTTTTCTTTAACAAAAATGGCAGCCCAGCCATATGCCAGAAGCAAATGGTTGAGCTTCAAGCATGTAATACTGTGAACGTCTGAGTCATTGAAGATTTTCTATCTCTTGGCAACAAGAGATAAGGCCAACTACATCCAGTATTATCATAATGAGGTTTCACAGCAATGAAAAGTGCATACAAACCTTTCTAATTCTTCTTACTGCAAAACAGCTATTTCTGGGATAAAAGTTTTTTTTAAAAAAAAACCAGAAAAACCCTTAACACATTACAGTTTCCAGAAAAACTTCTCATGTTAGGATGGAAAATTCAGTACAATTTGTTTATAGAAGTATTCCTCAGTAACAAATGTGAGCCTGGTTGACAATGGTCAAGTTTCTCAATTATCAGTGGGATTTTGAAGCATCAAGACAGAAAAAAGAGGTGATTTGTCATACTGTTATGGTATGTGATGGACTTTGCTTTCAAAACATATTGAAGGTGTTCTTTATTTTACTACAAAAGTTGGCCTGATTCAGCAAAATATTCAGTACATTCTTATTTTAAAGATAACTGAAATGTCTTGCAGAGTTCTTGGTCAGGGTAAGATAAAAACCTATGCTTAAAAACACCCACCTTAAAATAGTTTTTTTAAAAAAAAAGTTAAAGTGCCTTAAAGAATAATCTGAGGCGTTCCAAACGAACATTCGCACTTCCGGGTTTAAGGCATTTGGGAACCAAAACATCCGAGTTCCAGGGCGTTCAGGATCCAAGGTATGACTGTACCAGAGGTGTACTCTGTGGGGGTCAGCCCCCCATCACGTAATTAAATTTAAATACTTAGCTGGCCAATTGCGTTGCAGATAACTTGGTTCTGCCCCCCGCCACTTAATGCCTGCATGACAAGTACCTAATCAAAGACTTAACTAAGTTTAGTAGTTGTGAAAGAAGAGGTGAGGTCCTCTTCTGGATCAGAAAGTAACAGGAAGCAGAGAGTAGGAATAAATAGACAGTTTTCCTGATGAAGATATGTAGAAAGCAGTGTCCAAAGGACTGGTATTGGGACCTGTGAATGGAGGGCCATAAAAGATTCTTAACTCATATGCTCATGGGGTCTGAGGTCCCACAGGAAAATAGGACTTTTTCTTTAAAGTGTTTTTCTTCCCTTATTTTGCATGTGTAGAAAGAGAACCAAGAAGGTTGGTCTCTTGTCAATACTGTAAAGAGGTTCACAGTGCAAAAAGAAAGTGGCCTATATTATCCAAGGTTTTGGATTATGCTCCTGGATTATAAAAATGTTCTATTTAATTGCAAGCCAATATGTACACATCTAGTACACATGCTTGCTCATGAAATAAATGCACTTTAAAATGAGAAACTTAACTTAAATCAATAACATAAATTGACCTTTATTCCTGTTGATTTACATCATTCCACCACACTTTGTGCCTGTATAACTTTCCCACACCTAAAGTATTTCAATTTTATTTCAATTGCTTGTGATAAAAGACCCCTTTTAGACCTATTCAAAGTATCTTATGCTTTCCAGGATACTATTAATTCCAAATATTTCATTGTACCATTTACCAGTATCCTAGTCCTAAATATTTCTGTCTATGTATCTTCTACCAACAGCGGAGAACATCACTGCAGTGCTGGCATACACTTACAGTTTGGAATACTGGCCATCATCCAAAAAACAAAACCATGCAACTACTTCCACAGACAAATGTCAGCTTTGGGCTTGTGCTTCTTGAACAGCTGTTTGCCCACACCACATAGCAAACTGAGTTTGAAATTTTGGAGAAATTCAAAAGTAGTTTGAACATCGTTATTCAGAGAAGAAGAAAACGTGAAAATTCAACAAACCATGTCAAACCATGTGCCAAAAGTAGCTCTTTATATAATGAAAGTTAAACCACATGCCAATATGCCCTATCATAAATATTTATCTGCTGGTGCAGGAAAAGTTAGGATCAGTGGTTTATGAAGTGTGATTCTCAGGTTTAACTCCCAAGGAAGTCCTCTAAATAGGAAGCTGTCCATCAATTCACTACCCAGTAAAACTTATAAGGCAATGAAGCAAGGATGCATTATAACCATAAAGATTTTGCCAATACATTTTGTATTGTATCACATTATTTCTAACATGTTCCTGCTAAAAACTTGACCTTACTGTGATTTGTAAATGCAAAAGATTAACATGAAAACTTGAGAGAAGAAAGCTCAGTCTACTCTTCAAGTCTGAATGCATAAGGGAAAATGACCAAGTACTGTATCCTAATCCAGTTGTACCAGAAATTGCATAGATTAGTAAATGGCATTAGGGGAAAAAAATTCTACCTTTTTATATCATATGCCACAAAATAACTTACTCATCAGTCTGAATATCGACAAATGCAAACTAAAGAATTATATGGGTAAATGACATTCAATAGAGTATCACCATTTCTTAAAACAGGGGAAAAAATGAATACCAGACTATTATTCACATTGTATGAATAATTCTGAATATAGCCAGATATATACTCAAAATCCAAGAAAGTAACAACCACATTATTGTACTGATGTTCAATAATTTCTTTGAAACTGATGGAAAGAGTATCCAAACCATTGCTAATTTCACATAAGAATTTTCATTAGGAATAATAACACTGTCAATTCCAAAAGTTAAAATGTGAACTAGAAGCTAACAAGCAAACAAACTGGTCTACTTAAATCTGACACGCAAAAGCTGCTTCCCCTTTCATGAAATGCAATCACACATTTTCTCACTAATATCTTGCTCTCTATCTAATCACTTGATGCATTTTTCACTGTTAAATGGTGTACAGCAAATACAGGATATTATCCATTAAAAGGGATACATAAAAGCTTTATTTGGTGTTGGGGCAATGAAATAAAAGAGGCCCTGTCACCATAAAGATGAGATTACTAATCTCTATGGAAAGGAGGAGGATATCATCACACCACCACCTGCTGTTACACGCATGATGGATCAGGCTAGTAATTAAAACACAACCCTTTCAATGTTATACTGCAGCACTAGACATCCATTCAATTATCTTCAAAATTAAATTTAGTCAAAACTACCAAAAGTAGAATTAACAGCATCCTCTCTCATGGAGGTTTCTCACACGTATTAACGTGCTGCCTAGAACTACACACATCTATATTCACACAATTTGTGTCAACACAGCAAAAGGAGGTTTGAATAATGAAGCCATGAAAGACTCTGCAACTAGGATTTGCATCAAACTGCTGAATAAGCCTCTTCGCCAGTAGTTAGACGGACAAGTTTAAAGCAGCCAGTGAACCTTGTGCAAACTGATTAAACTACAGAATTTTCCTGAACAGGAAAGGTTAGATCACATTCAAAATTCTCCTACCTCGATCAAAAAGTCTCCTGTTCTCAAGCCAGCTTGCCATGCTACCCCACCTTCATCCACTGATTCCAGATACTGCAAGGCAGGAAAGGCTGGAGTAGGGGTGAATTCTTCAATTGGTGTATCAGCTTTGGGAATAATATTTTTAAAAAATATATATTTTAATAAAGAAAGATAAATGTTTGAAATATATACTTAATGTGATTAAACGATTACTTATGCAGTGCCAGAAATTCATTAAGTACAACAATCCCTTCTCTACAGATCTTCCTGCTCTATAGTTCTCTCCCTCTCTTTTTTCTTGTGTATTCATGTTCACTTGAATTTAGTCAGCAAATAAATGAAGCTCAGTTCTGGTAAATTGCTATATAGCCAAAACAGCAAGTGATTTGGTGGAACAGGACTCTCATTTGAAACCAGTATCATTAATTTTCAAATATGGGCATAGAATGGAGAATTCAGGCATTTAAAATTTCAAGTCTGTTACCAGCTAATTACCTATAGCTACAATGAAAACAGTATGAAGTAATTGAATTTAATGGTGCAACATTGTATTTGCTTATGCATCATGTACATATTTATATGCTGAATGATCTGACATGCATACACTTTCATAGACAATATGCTCCAATAAGGTCTCAAACATCATTTATAACAAATGATACATGAAGCTGGGTATTAGCATATGCTTTAAAGGGGGCCCTTGAATATTCCACCTGGAGAGCTGGGGCCCATACAACATTAACATATATAGTAAGAGAATAACCTCTGTTTGCTGCAGAGATAGCTCAGCGCCAGCTGATCTACACTGTGATGAAGTCACAGAGTCTCTAGAAGACCCCGCTAAAACGTGCATTTAGCCAGGAGGGTTAATCAGGAACTGTTACATAGCTAGGGAAGCCCAATAGGTGTCTGCCATGCTAGCGAGGAATGATAAAAACGGTATTCCCAGAGGAAGGGTGTGGAAGATCCACCATAAGCACATATGGGCTAGCCTTGAAGCCAGGCTGTGTGAGGGAGAGCCCATCCAGCAACTGAGGGGTGTCTCAGTGGCAGGCACTGGGATGTACCACCACATTAAAAAATGAAATGCAAAAGCAATAGAAAGAAAAGCCTTAAAAATATATCTTAGGCATAAATCTACTGGAGTACATTTGGCATAAGAAAAAGCTTAGCACATTTCAACACATGAAGCCAGGCATCCCTCACAACAGAACACACTAAAAAGGCCATTCAACATACATGCAGCTTCTGAAGATATAAAAATGATCTGATTTTCATACTAAAACTGCAGTAGTTCCACCTTGAGCAAGCCACAGATCTATTTCAAGCTTGTTGGCAACATGCAGCTTCACTCCGCAAATAATTTTAACACAGGAACACTTTAAATTAAGCAATTTTGACACCCCCACAGCCAGGTTGCTTACAGTGTGAATAAACTGAACAGTAACATATACAAAATATGTAGGCAACCTTCCCCTCAGAATTATTCTCCATATCTATTCTATACATATATCTATGCTGTAAAAATATACATGCATTCACATACCCCTCAAAACTGCTCAATCAGAAATTCATGTCAGTTTTACTGCACAGAGAGAACACTGTTGTCTAGCAACCAAATGCATAAGGAATAATGCCTGTTTATTTTCAGAAATGCATGCCATTTTTCACATAGACACTCACCCAATCACACAGACACAGAAAATCCACATACCTTTGGCCCCTCTGAGCACAAACCCAAATCCTTCATTGTCTTTTTTCTGCAGGACCACAGCCTTTTCTTCTATAATGCAGTCACTGTAGAGAGAATTCCGAGGATAGCGACCATTATTACATCCCTTCATCACCACAGTAGTAGCTGCTCCTCCAGTGTGTAGGTTCATCATCATCACAGCCAGTTAATCAAATAATATTGCAGTAATCAAACATGGGGAAAATATAACGGCAAACAGAAGAAGGAAAGAGACAAAGACAAGGCTTAATGGCAAGGGGGAACATGACAGTGCAACTTAACGGAGGGGAAAATGCAGCAAAAGCAGAGGAAGAAACCATGCATGGTGGTAGCTGAACAAATGTGTGATCATGTCATCTGTGTGCTAGCTAGGAGTCGAAAAGAAAAGAAAGTGAACTGAACGACAGTAGCATTAATAAACTCCTCAATCGTGGATGTACCAGATGCATCTTCTAGTGAAGCCAAAATGAAACCAACCAGAAGAAAAATGAGGCAGCATTTTAAAACCTAAAGTTAGCTTGGTTTGCTGTTATAAGTAGCTAAAAGGCACGGATATATTCAGAAGCTATGCCTTGCATCAAAAGCCCTTTTTCAATCCTATTGAATGTTGCATGCTGCAAGGATCCCACATGATCATCTGACAGCCTACAATGCTAACAACGTGCAGCTGCCTTGGCGTCATCAAGCACAAATTTTCACAGCATCAAGAATCTGCATAATTTAAATAGTAACAAGGCATGTATGTTCATGATCACCTTTTTCTATAAAAATTACAGAGCCTTCCTGAAAGCCAGCACAATGAACTGATAATGAGAGGATCCTCTGAAAGACAGACATTTCATTTTTTTTAAAAAAAGGCAGCTTCTTAAAAATTATCTGATAATTACTCTTCGATAAGTGTTTTTTTTTAAAAAATTAAAAATCCAGTTATTCAAAGAATAGATTGAGCTTAAGTTTCTAAGCCAAATCACAACACTTCAAGAGATTTAAGCCGATCTGAGTTTTTTATAATAAAATAAATATTTTATATCATTAAATGGCAACACATTTTCAAGAAATTATTCATGTAGAGCTTTCAGGTACACCCTCATTTCTTTTGCATAGTAGGCAATATTTCCTTTAAAAAACAGTAACATGCTTCAAAAATATGATGGTGCAGTGGCAGAAAACCATTGCTCTTGAGGTAATAAAATATGGGGAAACTCTGGAATCTGACCTGACAAAATATAACTAGCTGATCCCCAAGACTACAGTCCTGCACCCATTTACACACACTTGTTTAGTTAGGCTTCCGTCATATCCCCGAGGCTCTGATTAGCTTTTGCACAAATGTGTCTATATTCACAGCTGAAAGGAATAATGGAAAGTTCCCTCAACATTCCAAAATAGCCAGCACCCTTTGGCAAAAATCCACAGAGCAGCTGGCAGTTATGATGGAGCTCTTTCTGGGAGAGAGGCAGGGCAGGTTGCCAGAGGCAGTTGGTTTCCTGGCTAGGGGTAGGGCCAGGATTCCCTTTCTCTTGTTCCCAGATGATGACACAGAAGCACAAGTAGATAGGGTGCAGATGAACAGGTCTGGAGTAAAATCCTTACACAACTGGATTCTGAGCAAAAACTGCAGTTTCTGTCAAAAGGATTTACAGTGAGAGGCAGGAGGGGGGAGGGGGAGGGAGCATTAAAGAAAAAAGGAAGAAAATTGTCTTCTCCCCACCCCACCTGGTCACCTTCAAGTTAGCAAATTTAAAAATCATGGCTTAAAGTGGCAGGACTGAGGCTTCCATTGCTGCTCATCATACTCTTCTTTCTACCCTGTCCCTCATTCCCAGGAAACTATTCATCCACCCTTTCCTATAGCCTCTATTTCATCTTGTGTGTGGAGGTGGGGGAAGGGACTGAGAAATCCCCTCTACAGCAAGTGACTATGGTTACTATGGCTACTATGGCTAATTATAATGTAGCATAAACTGCTAGCGTTTGAAACCTTTTGGGGCCAAACTACATACAGTGGTACCTCGGGTTCAGAACTTAATTCGTTCTGGAGGTCTGTTCTTAACCTGAAACTGTTCTTAACCTGAAGCACCACTTTAGCTAATGGGGCCTCCTGCTGCTGCTGTGCCGCTGCTGCACAATTTCTGTTCTCATCCTGAAGCAAAGTTCTTAACCCGAGGCACTATTTTTGGGTTAGCAGAGTCTGTAACCTGAAGCATATGTAACCTGAGGTACCGCTGTAATTTGTTGTAGTACTGCTCCAAAAGTTTTTGGATGAAAATGGTTATTTAGATCCCTTCTAGAAACCAGGTTACCTTAGTGCAGGCATAGGCAAACTTGGCCCTTCAGATGTTTTGGGCCTACAATTCCTATCATCCCTGACTACTGGTCCTGTTAGCTAGGGATCATGGGAGTTGTAGTCCCAAAACATCTGAAGGGCTGAGTTTGCCTATGCCTGCCTTAGTGGATGATCTGGGCTGGGAGATGAATTATGTTTATTAGAGTGGTACCTCGGGTTAAGTACTTAATTCATTCCAGAGGTCCGTTCTTAACCTGAAACTGTTCTTAACCTGAAGCACCACTTTAGCTAATGGGGCCTCCCGCTGCCGCCGCGCCGCTGGAGCCCGATTTCTGTTCTTATCCTGAAGCAAAATTCTTAACCTGAAGCACTATTTCTGGGTTAGCGGAGTGTGTAACCCGAAGTGTATGTAACCTGAAGCGTATGTAACCCGAGGTACCACTGTATTTATTAAATTTGTATACAGTCCTTCATCCAAAGATCCCAGGGTGGTTCACAACAGAAAAATACAAAATGAGAATACAAAATACATAATAAAACAAAAATAAAAGCAACAGCAATCAGGTGGTTAAAAACCCTAATCAGCAACTCATTTCCTAGGAAGTTGAATGAGGTGCATGTGACCCTGTTGATTCTCCTGGACCTCTGAGCTTGTTTACTGATCGATAGACCATGTTATCTATCTGGGTTTTCACAAAGGGATGGGAATTGTGGTCAATGCTAAAGTGGCTTTGTTCATTCCAGAGAGATAAAACCCAGAAGTGGTGCTAGATAGAAGATTATTGCTCTTCGCCATGTCTGGTGGCCTGTAAGATTCTGCAGGGCTCCATCATGTCCCCTATGGTATCTAACAACTACATGAAACTGCATGAGAGGACAGTTGGATTGCAGAATCATCAGTATAAACTGATAATACCCAACTCTATATTTTTATTTTTATCTCATTCTAGGGAAGTAGTTCAAAGGTTAAATCACTGTTTGGTAGCTGTGAAGGACTGAATGGGGATGACGAAACCAAAACTTAATCCAGACAAAACAGAAGTACTGGTAGTGAGTTGACTCAGGTTTGGATTTGCGGCTTGTACTGGGTGGTGTTACACTCCTACTGAGGTGTACTTCTTGCTCAAGTGATTCTGCTAGATTGTGTAGACGGCATCAATAGTGAGGGGTGCCTCTTTCAGCTTTGGTTGGTTTATGATCCACAGCCCTTCCTAACAAAGCTGAACCATGGTCATCCATGCTCTAATTCAGTGCTGGGAAGCAAGTAGGTCATAATCTACTGGTAGATTTCTGGCTGACTTGCAAAAACATGGCAAAGGTTTCAACAACAGCAACAACTAAATAACGCTTTGCACTTAAGTGATGCTGCTGCTATGAAGGAAGTTAAGCAAAAGTAGACTTTTGTGTGAAAAGACTGTGGGGTCAGTTCAGTTCCAGTACAGTGGTACCTCGGAATTCGAATGTAATCCGTTCCGGAAGACCATTTGACTTCCAAAACGTTCGAGTTCCAAGGCGTGGCTTCCGGCTGGCCGACATCTAAGTTTTTGCACAGCGGAAGCCGTGTTGGACGTTCATGTTCTGAGGAATGTTAAAAAACAGGAGAACTTCTGGGTTTTCAGCATTTGGGAAACAGCAAAACATTCGAGAATGGAGCTGTTCGAGTTCCGAGGTACCACTGTACTAAAAACCGAATTCCTAGGCTCAGAAGATGCTCAGAGGCACTCACTTTATCCTTTAATTCAATTTGTATTTTGCACCTGACTGATTGGTTTGTATTTGCACTTGGTTCTGGCTGGTAGATCTTGGAGTTCTACAAAGTCTGCCTACCTCTGCTCTACAGATCTCCAAATTAGACTATTGCAACATGTTCTAGGTGAGGCTGCCCTAGAAAACTGTTGAAAACTACAACTAGTACAAACTGCTGCAGTCGGGTGGCTGACAGGTCAGCATGTTTTTGATGCATAATCTCTCTCTCTCTCTCTCCTGTTTTGTATGATCTGCATTTTTTTTACTGGTTTGTTTTCAAACTGAATTTTAAAGCAATCTTATACCACACAACCAAACAGAGCTACAGTTCCCAGCACTATTAACAAACTACAGCTCCCAGGATTCTCCATGACTGTAAGAGTGGTGTAAAAGTGCTTTAAACATAGGGTGAGGATGTGAGCTACGGCCTGTGACCTGGGTACCTTAAGGATCACATTCTTCTGTATGTTTCTCCCTGAATGATTTGATCATTATCTGAAACTTTACACCAGATCCCTTGACCCTAGGAAGAATGGCTGGTGATAACCATGGTTAAGGCCTTTTCGGTTGTGGTGCCTACCCCATGGAAAGCCTTGCAAAGTGAAGCAAGTCAGGTCCCACCACTGAAATGTTTTTAGGCAGCTAGTAAAAAATGATGGTTGAAAAAGTTTTTACCTCATAGTTCTCTTTTTGCTGGTATAGTACTGTAGGCTGTTCTGGATTTTGTAATGGGGACTTGGCTTTGATGTGTCCATATCTGTGATTTTAATGGGAATTGTAATATAGTTTAAAACAATTTTATTGCTTTGTGTTTTGTTTTGTTTTTTGTTTTTATATAACGCCGCTGGATCGCTAGTCAACATCGTTTATGGTTGGAACTATGACATTATCTGATCGTCTTCGAATTGCTTTGTGTTTTTGACTGTAAACCACCTTGAAAATACATATAATAAGTAAATAAGAAGTGTAGGAATAAAAAAGGAGACTCCACCTAACAGTGTACACCTCTATTAAAATCCAGTTTTATGGAAA